TGGGACAGAGGAACCCCTTTCTTAATAAGCTCTGAATGATTGGATTTAGGCCCTTAAGACTGGCAGTTGGCAGCAGGTATTGGGCCTGGTTTGGGAAGTGGTTAGGGTCTTTAAGATGCACTTCCACAGGAGAGCAATTTGTAGAGGATGGGGTTTCAGTGTCCCACACAATGGATCTACTATTTTACAGGGGAGGGGAAAATATGTGTTCTGGTGGTTGTTGGAGTCTCCACACCATACTCAAAGGGGTAAAGTTTCTTCTTTGTTATGAGTAGGGGAGGACAAAAGGGTAAGGTTATGTAGGCCTTCAGGATGTATCCCTTCCCAGCAAGGGGACCTGGCATTGAGGCATAACTAAAAAATGATGTGAAAAGGAGAACTCAGATAAGGAGCAAGTGAGGAGAGGAGTTTTGCGTGGGATGATGGTTTAAGATTCAGAGGGATAGGTAGTTCCCCAAAACTCAGAACTGAAAGTGTGACCCTGGTGTCTACCAAAAAGTTTATGGGATGCCCATCAACTCACATATAACCACCCTGGGTTCCTGCTTGGTAATTGAATAGGTTGGGAGAGAAGACCCAGGGCCCTGTCAATCTTTGGCTGCTAGGCCCAGCAAGTCACTGGCAGGGGGACTGACCTCAGCTCCCCTCCGGGAATTGGGGCAGTCTGATCCCCAGTGGCCAAGATGTTGGCATCTGGGGCATGGTCTGGGTGGTGCCCTGGGGTTAGGGCAAGCCCTAGCCCAGTGTCCTTTATTATCACACTTAAAGCAGGGCCCAGGGGGTCCTCGTTGTGGGGGTTGTTGTCTCCCCTTTTCTGTAGGTTGGAAGGAGCCCTGTAATACCTGGGCCAACATCTGGCATTTTTGGAGTTTTGCTCTTTCATCTCTGTTGTGGTAGACCTTGAAGGCTGTGGCCAAAACCCCAGTCTGAGAAGTTAAGGGTCCCCTCTCTAATTTTTTTTAGCTTTGCCTGTATGTCAGGGTAGCTTTGTGAGAAAAAATAGGTCATAAGAAGTTGCCTCCCATCCAGGGATTCAGGGTCCAAACTATTATACTGAAGGAGAGCCTTTGTTAGTTGGTCTAGGAAGGCTGAGGGGTTTTTATTCTTCTCCTGGATGACTTAAGGAGTTTATCAAAGTTAATAGCTTTTTGTGCTGCCTCCTTTAGGCCAGTCATCAGACAGATAATAAGGTGGACCCTGCACCCCAGTTCTTGGGGGTCATTATAATCCCAATGGGGGACTTGGTTGGGAACTGCCTGAGCCCCTAGGGGATGGTGGGCATCAGTCTGATGAACCTGGTCTGCTTAGGCCCTAGCCTGGTCCCAGACCCTTCTCTTTTCTTCAGGGAGGAGAGTGTCGAACAGAATCATATAGAGATCAGGAAAGGTGAGGCTGTAGGCTTGGGTTAAGTATTGAAACTCTTTAATATAAGAGACAGAGTTTGCAGTGTAAGATCCTAATTTTTTCTCTACTTGAGAAAGGGCAAGCATAGAAAAAGGAACATAAACCCTTAAAATCCCATCTGGTCAGGTGACTTCTTGAAGGGGGGCCACAACATGTGAAGTTTTAGTCAGGTGATGAGACATGGTGACTTGTGGGTTAGGTATTGCATTAGTGTGTGAACAGATGGCGGGTGGACTAAACTGAGGTGGAGGGACCAGGTGGAAGGAATGGAAGCTGGAGGAGGTTGTGGGGGAGTGTTGGCAGAAGAAGAAGCTGCAGATATAGAGGATGGGGAAGTTGGAAGGGGTAAAAGTTGGGAAAGCAGGAATGAGAGCGAGGGAGAGTGGTATGGAGGTGGTTCATTAGCTGGGTCAAAAGTAGAGGCGGACAGCAGAGAAGAGGAAGAAGGGGGAGAAGGTGTGGAGGCAGAGAGTAGAGAAGAAGAGGAGGAAGGAGGCTTGTGAACAAGGAGTAGCTGTTGAGGCTTGCATTGGGTGTAGAGATTTGAGTAGCAAAGGAAATCGTAGCAAGGAAAAAGCCTCCACATGGGGAATCTCATTCCACTTTTTTGATCGCTCACAGTAATTAAAAAGATACCAGAGTAAATTGGGATCCAGAGACCCACATCTGGGCCAAACGTTTTGGTTGTCCAGGGGATATATAGGCCAATCCTGGATACAGAATTTTATGAGCCTTTTTGGTTTAATATCAGGGGCTAGGCACAGGGTTGTCAAATTATCTAAGAGGCACGGCAAGGGAGAATTGGTCAGGAGGGACAAGGAACTTCCCATGCTGAAAGAGCGAGATGAGAGTCAGAGAGGGGGAGGGAGGGAGAGAGAACCCAGGCCATAAAGAGCTTCCTGAAAGCTCTGGAGCAGAAGGAGGGTCAAGTGGGCATCCCCAAATGGCCATGACTGCTGAGAAATAGACAGAGGGCACTGCCTTGTCATCACAGGGGAGTTTGATCTGTGAGACCCAAATAGGGCCGAGGCCGCAGGCAACCTGACAGCAGAAAAGTTTTTCAAGTGGAACTAAAGAGTCAGAAGGAGACTTTTTCTGGGAGGAACAGAGTTTAAGGTGGAATTGAGGAGTCAGAACTCAGGTGAGATGGATTGTGGCAGCCATGCTAGCCCATCTGTGGGAGCTGAGAATGAGGGGAGACAGAGGAGTCAGGAAGGGAGAATCTATTCTATGTCCCAGGCAGTCAACTCCCAGAGGTGTCCTACTAGATCACCTAGGGGCCACCATGACCCTGACGGGTCTGAGTGGGGTGCACTCTCCCCCTAAAACTCCCAGAGGGATTGCCAGACATTCCCTCATTCTGGTGAGTTAGGGTTTAGGTGCTCATGGGATGGAGGAACTCACCAATCCGCTGGCTGGTGGTGGGTGTCAGGCAGGTGATCAGAGGAGTGGACTGTGACAGGAATGGTTGGGCTCGAAGTTTGGAAACAGGGTTCTGCCTTGAGCAATGTAGATCTATGTCCCAGGTTTTAGCATCAA